AAGATGTCTGATGGAGAGAGGAGGGAGGAAAAAAAAAATCCCTGTCCATTCTAAGAGAGGAGTTTCAGTGCTCACAAGTTTAAAACAAAGCCCTCATTATACACTGATTTTACCATGGACACTTTGCTATCTGTATTTTTTGGTAAAATAGGATGACAAGGAAGGAAATCTTGCCTTCCAGAGACTTCCTATTTCTCAGGAACAGGGATGCAATTTCCTTCCTCCCTCGCCACAATTCTGAATGTCACCTGAATTCCATTGGCCTTGAACTGGGACACAAACCTGGATGAGGTCAGTGGTTTGACAGCTGGAATCTCCCTTTAGCACCACTGTGCAAACACTCATGGGCTGGAGAGGAATAAACCACAGGCTGCAGGGTTTAAGGGTTAGGATCAAGTCCCCACCAGTGCTGGGACTGATGAATTTCTGCTGCAGGAATCACAGGCAAGACAGAGAACACAATAAGTTAAAGGTAACCAGGCTGAGCTGCTGGAAAACTGTGTGTGGAATTGTGTGGCAAGTTGGATTTATTCAGAGATCAACACTAGTTAAATGATTAAAACTGACTGTTTCAAGATCTCCTATACATGTAAAATTCACAGGATAAATGGTGATTGCTTCCCTAAGAACAGGGGCATGGTGAGGTCACAGAATCATGGAATTGTTAAGGCTGGAAAAGACCTTTAGGATCATCAAAGCCAATCACCAGCTCAGCACCACCAGCATGTTCACCACTACACTGTATCCTGAAGTGCCACACTTACACACATGGTTCTTTGAACACTTCCAGGGGTGGTGATTTCCCTGGGCAGCCTGTTCCAATGCCTTACAACCCTTTCCATGAAGAAATTCTCCCTGAGATTCAACCTAAACCTCCCCTGGCACAATCTGAGGCCATTCCCTCTCATCCTGTCACTTGTCACCAGGGAGAAGAGACCGACCCTCAGCTCACATATGAAGCAATACTTATCAGGATCAATCAAACTCCAATACTGAGATCACTTCAGGAATTTTCCACAAGCAGGATTTGCATCCAACCACCACCAATTTAAGGCAGAATGGGCAAAGGGAATGACTGGAAGTGCACCTCCCAAACCACTGTACAGTTACAGAACACCTCTGTTAGAGCTTCTCAGCAAAAGGAAGGAGCTGAGAGCACTTATGGCTAAACTTGCAGCTACCAAGAAAAGGGCAATGAAATGAATGTATGAAAAACAAACTGGCCCAAAACTGTAGCTCCTCACACGCTGCTTCACATACAGAATTTTCTTTAAGGCTTAAAACATGTTTTGTAAAAGTCTGTGAACTGAGAACTTGACAGAGGAACAGCAAAAGAACAGCTGCAAACAGTTTAATGTGAACTGGGAAAGGTTTATTTCACCAAGTTCATTGTGCTGACCAACCTTCCAGTGATAAAGTTCTGTTTAGCAAAAACCTGATGTTTCTGACCTCTGAAGTTAAGTAAAACCTTTCACGAATTCCACATAAACCAAAGAGTATGATTTGGCATCCACAGGCATTCCTGGGAAAAAAAAAGCAGCTAAGAAGCTGTGAATGCTCCTATTTTTCTCCATTTGGCATCAGCTCTTAACGTTAATTATATTTTAAGTGTTATTGCTGACGGTTTCTGCATAAACATTCGGTTAACTGTGTTTATCTTGAAGTCTGATATTGCCTCCTCTGCCCAACTGAGAAAGCTGCCAAGGCACAGAGAAATTTCCAGTTTTCCATACAAGATCCAGCACACCCAAAGTTGGGAGACCCCACTAACATGACCTCAGTATGGCAGCAGGCACAGAGGTCCCTGCAGCTGCACCACCCCCTTCCCAGGGCCACAAAAAGCCTCCCACCAGGAGTTTACCTTAAGCTGCTTCAGGATTTATTTTGCCCCTTCACAGCAACTCTGCTGCAAAAATTTAGGTCACAATTCCTTCAAGGGTACACGTACATGGGCACTTATTTAAAGCTCAAGGAAATTAATTAAAAGCTCCTCACTGACTTCAATGTGCATTGAATCAGGACCTGGATGAGTTCAGAGGCAAAACAATTACACTTTAATTAAACATCTTCACCTTCCTGTGAAGTAGTCAACTAATTTTATAGAAGCATAAACTGAGTCAGAAGGTTTCAGAGCTTGGTTGTGGTCATAAACAGAGTTGATTACTTAAGTTGCTTCCTTACTTGTGAGCTGCCCTTGGAACACCAAGAAAATGGACTTGCTGAAAAAAATCAAATAAATTCCTGGACTGTATATTTGCAGGAAATAAAAGAGAACATCCTGAAACAAGAGGAATGGTTGTACAAATCTATTGGCTCCATCTCTGTTCCCCAATTAGTAGCTAATTTAGTCAGTCACAGGAATCCCAATCATGCAAGAAGTTGAAATTATTAGGGTTTTTTTCATGGCAGTTTATCTTCAACTGAGAATTTCAGGCTGGTTTCTTTTGGTTTGTTTTTAAAATAGCATTAATAATTACATCTTCTTTTTTAAAAAAAGACTAGGCTTAGCAGATTTGATAGTCTGTAAAGCCTTGGGAGTACTTATTGAAAAGCAAGAAGTATGACCACACTCTCTGAATTCAGACTGACACTGAAGCCACACACGAGCTCTGTAACGTTCTGTCACATCACCCCCAGCAAGCAGAAACAAAAATAAGCATTCCTCACTTTCCTGAGGATTTGTTACATAATGCTTCCCCAACACTTAGGCTGAAAATAAATCCTAGAGTCAGAGGAGTGTTCTCAAGTACCCACTAACTTTTTTTTGGTTATTTTGCTGGTCTTTGGTTTGTTCTCACCTATGGTTTCGCCCATCCTGCTCTATCTGCTCTCTGATGCCAATGCAAGCTCATGGACAGGTCACAGCTCTTCAAAGGGAAAAAGATCTGTGAGTGTCCTCCATTCTCTGAGGTAAAACAACACTGAACAAAGTGCTTTGGGGTTTTTTTTATCTTAAGAGAAATTAAGTTAGTTGGTAGAAGTTTTCAGCACATTTAAAATCTATTTATGTGTCGTTTCTCCCTCATACTTAGAAGCCAGACCCTCGATTGCCAACATTGCTTAGGACGTGGAGTAGGTGGCAAAATGTTTTCATTCCAATAATTTACATCTTTGGTGCACATCAGCATCAAAACTGGGACTATTTGTACCTTTGTACACATGCAGTAGCTTTGCTGGAATTAAATTAATGGATACTATTACTTTTCCAGCAAATCAGAACTCTCAAATGGAACAACAACAACAAAAAAAATCTCTAATATCCGTGGTGCAGAGTTATTTGAAAAGAATCTTTTTAAAGGAATTATGAATATGACTCATGTATGGTTTCTGGTTATCTGGTTTAACACAGGAGACAAAAAACCTGCTACCCACACCCTTTCAGTGAGAATCCTACATGACATGACTGACTTCAGTCACTCTGTTGGAAAAACGAAGTGGCTTTTTAAGGAGGGCTTGATTAAAACTACTGAACACTGTGATTTTTGACATCTTTCTTGTGACAAATCAAGGTTTATTTTTGGTTGAATAGCCCACCATACTGTTCCAGAAGTACCACACTGATAGTTTAAATAAAGGACATGACTGACCAGCTTTACCATGGTGACCATTAACATATCTGGAAATACAGAAACAAAGTCATTTACCCTCACTATCTGAACACTGAATTATAAGCACCTTCCAGCTCTAACACTTATGCCAGCTCCCAGAATATAAGCAATTGGCATATTCATTAGGATTGCACTTTTTCCCACCCCTTCTGCACTGCACCCCCCATGGTGTGGTGTAGCTGTAACAGCTGCCTCTGTCCCTGCTGCATTTCAGCAGGAAACCCAATCTGATGACAGCTTGCAATAAAAAAAAATACAGTTTTGCCTCTGCACGTATAGAAATATTTCTGATACCCAATCCTTCTTTTTTGGAAAAAACTCTCCTGGAAGTTTTTCCCAGCAAACCCAAGAGCAGCCTCCAAAAGCCCGTTGCCTCTCTGGGTGCATTTTTGATGCTTCAAACTAGGTCAGATGCTCAGGAGGGATGCTTTGTAGTCAACAACCAACCTAGGAATTGAAATACTTAGTAAAAATCATAAATGTTTATGCTGGTTACAGATGACAAACGTTTTGGAGGGGAAAAAAGCTCATATTAAACGTGTATAAATAGATCTATTTCTCACAAGTTGTTTCCCAGGCAAAGCATCAACCTTTAAGAGCTTCACCCCATCAAACACCTTCAGGTGTTACCTCTGTTTGCCCATATGAAACTGCAGGATGGTTTTTAAATTTTGGCAAGAGACATCACAAGTCAATGTCAGCAATTACAAAATCTAGGTTTTGTTTCCGTTCACTTCTGGTTTTGTTTAGAAAACACCACAAGTTGTTTTGGAAACGTCTCTCTCCTCTCGCAAAGTTAAATACTCTCAAACTGTGGATGGGGGAAGGAGGGAAAAGGCAGGGAGCAGAAATTGGTACAGCTACAGATTTCCTGTAAAACTGGGACTCAGAACTTGCTTTCTGTGCAGCCCAAACACTCGTCATGATGATGTGTTATGTCTGGTGAGATTTATGAGCATTAACTAATTCTTGTTAACAGACAGAAGCTTCAGTTCATATGGTGGGAGCCCTCCCTGCCCACACCCTGCACTGCCTGTGCAGCACACACAGCTCCAGCAGGGCAAGCACATAAATCCCACAAGGATTTATTCCCAGGACTCCTGGCAGGCTCTGGGATCACTGCCCTGGTGAAGATTTCACTACCACTTGGACACCAAAAAGAATCCTGAAAGCACTTTTGTGTCCTCCACAACTTTTCCATAACTTGTTGCAATGCTTAAAATGAGCTAAAAGAGAAAACTGCTTTGAAGTGACTTTGGGTCCAAAAGTTAATTACCAGTTAATTGTCCAAAGTGCCCTTTGCTCCTGCATTTGTTAAATTCTACATCCTTCTTTGGAGATTTACTATTTCTATGCACCCCAACAACTAAGAGAGCACACAAATCCACTTACCAACAACTCCACATCACCCTGCCAGTGTCTACCAAGATGCCAGAGATACAATAATTGATGATGTTTTTTCAGCTAAGGCAAAGTGAAGGAACTCCAATGTGTCTGAGTTACACCTGTCACCATTTTCCAGCAGAATCTGTTTGTCAAGGCAAAAGTAGCTTTTAGACTGGCAAGAAAATAAGCCTGTATTTTTAGAAGTAGTACTTTAGATGTAGCTTTCTGTACACCCCCTCACCTTGAATACCTGTACTTTCAAAATAAACCCCCCTGAAGTACATGTTTAGCCTCATTTTTCACCATTTCATAGTGGTTCTCCTTCAGCAGCTATTTCACATCACTCATGAGCTCCAGAAATAACAAGGGCAAAAGAAGTTAAAAGCCTGCAAGTTCAGCAGCCAAAAAAAACTAAATATAATAAGATTTTGTAAATGTATTTAAAAGTATGTTCTTAAATACTCACTAAACATGCCTCTCACCACACCACAGCCAGCTCACACCAGAACACTGAACAAGCACACCTAACCCATCTCCAAAGTCTGCTGGAGTTCGGTGCCTTGGTTTGTTTTTAAATCCCCACATCTGCAGAATGTCTCCCAGTCATCTCACAGAGCATCAAAGCCCATCCTGTTCAACGTGCCAAGATGAGGGATGGACAAATAAACGATGATATACAACAGAGCAAAACAGTCTCTTCTTGAAGAGAAGGCAAATGTGAGTCTAGAAGGCAAATGTGCCCTGATGAAGCACATCTGGCTGCTGAGCAGAGAGGAGGCTCATCCCTCATCTGTGCCCTGGAGCACTGATGCTCCCTGAGCCGGGCAGCGATGCTGTCCCTGTCCCTCCCTCACGTACCTCCCCGGCACACACACAGCTGCACCGCGCCAACAAATCCTGCCCGTCTGGGCTCAAAGTTAGGGAGTGCTGCCCCAGAGGCTCTGGAAACGCAATTTTTAGCCAAGGCAGGAATTACTCGTGAGGGACTCACTGTCCGAGAGGCGTTTTCCCACGGAGGGCCGGGATGCCGAGAGCACCGCAGGCAGAGGGGCTGCCCGCCGACATTTCGGACAGGGGGCCGTGGCCCTGGCCCCCCGGGGGAATGGACTTCACCTGCACAGCACTTGCGGCATGGCGGGACCGGCGCGAACGGGGCTCGTGACGTGCAGGGATGATGCACAAATCCGAGAGGCAGCCTCCGTACCTGCGCCGGGGGGCACGGCTGGGCATAGGGGCGGGCCGGGCAAGGGCGAGGGAGCCGGCCGGCGGGGGAGGCCGCGGGCAGCGGGGAGGCCCCGGCGGCGCGGGCGGAGCCCGGGCGGCGGGCGGCCTTTGTTGGGGCGCGCACAAAGGGCAGGCGCTCACCTGGTGGCGGGGCGGGCTGGCCGGCGCTGCTGGCGGCTCGGCGGCGGGCGGCTGGGCACGGCGAGCGAGAGGCGGACCGAGCAGCAGCCGAGCCGCAGCCGACCTCTCTCTCTCTCCGCGTGATCACCGCGGCGGCCGAGGGAGGTGCCTGGCGGCTCCGGGGGAGGGACACGGTCGCGTCCCGGCGCCAGGGTCAGGCGGCGGCGCCGCAGGGCAGTAGCACCCGGAGCCGGCGCGGGAGGAAGGGGCGGGAGACTGGACGGCGGGGAAGGGCCGGGGAAGGGGCGGGCAGGGGCGGGGAAGGGGCGCGAACCACGCGGAGCCCGCTCGGGGGCTCGGCGGCCGACCCGCCCGCCATCCGGGGGCCGCTCTGGGGCAGAGCCCGTCCCTGCGGACGGGGGACAGTGCCGGGGGTGGGCCACGGGCTCACCTCGAGAAACATCCTCTGGGCTGAGGCGGTCCGAGCCTCCCGCGGCTCCGCTCTGCCCTCCCGGTCCTGGTCGGCGGGGCCCGGCTGTGTCAGGGAGCTGTGTCAGAGAGCTCACAGCGAGCGAGCCGCGTGAGGGAGAGCGCAGCTCCGTTAGGACAGGCTGCTGCTCCATAGCACTGTGCTGAGAAAGTTAAAGACGCTGCAAAATTCAGTACAGCTTAACTAAAGCTAATTCAGGCAAATACAGAAAATGCCGACCTCCGACTAGAACTAGCGCTCGAAAATAACGAATCGCCATTTGGTCATTGAAGCACTCAAAAATAAAGCAGTGAATTCCCATTTGGTCACTGAAGCCATCGAAAATAAGGTGATCCTTCACCTAGCTAGACTGAAGCAGAGTAAAACCCCAGTGGACACAGAGAGGGATTAATTAAAAATAATAATAATTAAAATTAAAATTAAAAAAAAAAAAAGATGACAGAAGGCACCTAAGGTTCCTCACCGTGCCCCATCGCTCACCTGCACTGTGGTTTCCCACTAGGTTAACAGTTACTCTGCTTCCCTACAGTGTGCACTGGTGGGGCCAGAAAGGTAAGTACAAAATTCCTGGAGATAAAAATGCTTTGTGTACCAAGTGTTATTTAGTAAAATGCATCTGTTTTCTACTCGGTGTTTAACTTAATTGCATAAAAATAGTCACAGTAATGAAATAGGTGGCACTTCCTTTAACAGCTTGCTACTTAATGACATCAAAGCCCGATGCCACTGAAATCCAAACCCCACTGCCAGCTAATGAAGGGCTTAACATGAAAGCCTCTGCAAAGAGCAAACCCAAGCTGCTGACAGGAACAGGAATGGTGCAAATGTGCTGGGATCTGAGATCACTGGCACATACCCACAGCACAGCAGGCAGTAATGATTATTAATTATTTAAGAAAAGAACATAAGAGCTCCAGCGTAAGCTGAAAAAAATATGCAGAAGCATTGCTCTGGGATCCTCCAGTTGGATTACTGTTAATTAGCACAGTACATGAGTCTGAGGGAAAGATCTAAAAGCATCTTATGCTGGTAGGAGTGTATAATTAAGCCATCATTTGCATCTTTGCAATAGTATGAATTTCCTTACTGATAACATCATGGCACAACACCATCTTATGACTAAGTACTGTCTAGCTCTCCTGTTCCAATTCAGCTGGCTGACTGTACAGCAGTGCAATGCAATCTCACAGAGCATCAATTTAACATCCTGCCTTTATTTAGAAAGGGTTTTAGCAGGGAGGGACACCATAAGGCTTCCTCTACCCCGGGAGGATTTGAGGTTTCTTTTCTTAGAACTGAGCTCCTGCCCCACCTTAGTTTGTTCCCTCCAGCTTACCGAGGTGTTGGGCTACCAAGCAAAGTGACATCTTGCCACGGGTCTCTTGTATCATCACAAGACAGGACAGATGCTCAAGAGGCCTCTTAACTCTACTAGTTCTGCAAGACATTTAGTAGAATTTTGTTCATGTCTCCTGGGACTGCACAGACCTTCCCAAGGCAAACACGGGATAGAGCTGCACTTGATCAAATCCATCACCTCACCCATCCCCACCCCGCTTGCCCCAACCACATTCCCTCAGCAGGGCAATGTTTGGAAGATTAATTACCTGAAGGTTAAGTCTTTCTAACATTTTTACAAGTATTGTGTAAAGGCTTGATATTGTTTTATAAAAATCTATCAGATTAAATGGATTTTTCTTTTCAGTCACTCCTAATCTCTCGTTTAATGAAGCTGTTGTTTGTTCCAGTAAGCCAAAACTCCATGAAACCTTCACTGAATCCCTGCTTGACTTAGAAAAATTCTCTCAACTCACCCTGTCCTTCCTGATCTCCAATGCTTTCTTAATCAGCTCTGAAAATCACTGAGGGTTCCTTCACAGCACAGCTGCTTCCACCCTCCAGGTCCCCCTGTATTTGTTGGCATGTCCCCCTCATTATGGGCTTCCAGCAGCATCTGCACACACAGGCCCTGCTCCCATTATCCCTGACCCAGCCACACACAACAACAAGGAAAACTCTTTCTCTCCAAGATGTGTGGTACCCAATGAGGGACTTGTTTTTAGTCTGGAATCTCTTTTGTTAATCTCTTATATTTTAGACTTAGCCTGACAATTCCCACCCATCAAAATCAAGCTCTGATGCAGAAATGTTGCAGTGTTTCCTCAAAATTAAATGCAGTTCAACCATTCAACCCGGTGTACTTTTGGGACACTAAGAAATGGTGGAGGGCACAGCAGTCAGGTGAACTTTCCATGACTAGGGGCAAACAAAACTTGTGTAGATTAGAGAGATTATATTAAAAAAAATAATTAAAGAAATGGTTCAGCTGTCTTCATTACAATATTTTATGATTCTACATGGGCTGTGCAGTGAGGAGGTATGCAGAGAGATTTTCAAGGCATGAACAAAAAAGCCCTTTACTGTAAGAAAGGCTATGACAATCATCTTTTTGTTAATCCAGGCTTAGTTTGTGTGGCAAGAAACCTTCTCAGCTGCGTGTTTTATTCAAAACCAGAAGTGTTCCCAGATTAAATTTGGTATTTACAAAGTTGCAAACCACACTCTTTTACAATAACACTACAGAACTTAATTTCCATCTCCACCTTATAAGGATAAAGAAAAGCTGTTTACCCAGACATTACACCTCTGTCCACGGGATCTGCAGGTGGATCTGATGGTTTCCAGCACATCTCAATTATTACTGACCCAGTTTTGGAGGCATGTTCAAAACATCATCCTAAATGTTATCAAGCAGCAAACTATTGTGATAGCAAGATAAAAAAAATGTCCCGTGATTAGTACCTGTTTAAATGAGAAATCTGCTATTAAATATAACATTTACACATGAGTGAGTTAAATTATTTTGGTGCATGATACAGCAATGCTGTATCCACCAACCTTGTGTCTGTATTTCCTCTTTGGAGACCTTATTTCAGGGACTACTTATTCTGAAACATTTTTATTTATCCTGTCAGATGGTGTCAGGTACTTTGGGCCACTCTTAGAGATGCTCTGAACATCAGCACCTCCCGTTTCACTGAGGTGTTTAAAAGTAAGAGCAGAAAAATCTTGGGCAACATCAACTCCAGTAATTCTCCCCTCACCCTCACAGGCATAAACCCCTTTTAAGGTAAAGTTAAAAAAACTACAACCTCACAGCAAGACCAGGTGGCACATTTTCCACGACTCCTAAAGGAAAACTCCAATGTGAGCACTGCCATTCCTCTCCTGTGGGCAGACAGAATTTAAATAAGAGTTACATCCTTCCCCAGAACTCAGCGAGGATAATTTTAAAATGATGGAGGTGGGGAAACTAAAAAGGTGCCTGCAGGCTGACTTCTATTTCTTTACAATGTAAAAATCCTATTTGTCCTTCTGTGGGGAGGGAATTGCCACACTAGAAACAAACCCAAATGGTTCTATGTGAATTTGCCTCCCATTTCAGCCACTAATGACAGAGCCTTCACTGCCTGGTCAGTAGGGTATCATTAACACAGAGTTCTCTATCAAAATGAATTTGACTTTTACAGGCAAGGTAACACGAGGAACTAAGGGATCTCTCAAGAAATCTTGTATTTTTCCTTCAAGACAAAGATAACTTGCTACTTTTCCATTCAAGATCAAAGAAGGGAAATAATACAAGGAGACAAAGACAGAAGAAAGAGAGACAGAGCATTTGAAGCTTCAATTTTCTCTCAAATGCTTTTCCTTTCAGATCAGTACAATCACTGAATTCACTCTATAGAAAAAGAAGATTAAAAAAGGGAGGTTACATATGGCCAAAAAAAAAGGACTCTGGGAACTTTGCTGATGTGTTTAAAGCTACTGTACTTTACAATTCTTACTTCAGAAATAAAATGATAAACAAAAAACAAAGCACATTTTAATCTTCAAAGCCATGTATGATCAATAACAACTTCACAGCACTCGATATTCAAGGATCATAATCTGTATTTTACTCCAGGAAAGATGTGTACAGAAGGAGTGATCTGCCAGGGTCTAACACTGAACTGGGGATGGAACTCACACATCACAAGCTCGTTTGTTAAACAACAAATCCATGCTTTCATTTAGCAGTTGTTCTTTTGTTACCAGTTTTTATTTGAGAAAATGATTATGATAATAAATAAATAATGGATTTTTTTCCCCAGCTCCTGCAGAAACATTTCAGACAGTGGTGGAGGTACATCCCAGGATTATTTATCAAAATATTTAGCACAACACACCAGTTAACTTACTATGACTGAAATCAACCTAACACTTCAAGCAGGCCACTAAACTATTTGTGAGGGTCAACACATGAACAGCTTCACACCAGCAACAGCTTCCTTTTTAAATCACATTCATGGTCAGGGCCTCCTGCAGGACACAGCCAGTCTCTGATTTCTGACCCTGCACAGCTTTGGAGGAGGGAATTCTGCCCTGGCCACTGAGTCTTCCAGTACTGGTCACTGATCTCATTCTCCACCTTTGTCCATCTCAATCACCAGAGAACTTTCCAAGAGCAGAAGCAGCACAACGTTGAAAAGATGTTCAGTCAAGGATGAATTTAACAGGAATGTTCCAACTGCCTGCAGTACAGAAGCTTTGCAAAAATCCTGAAATATTTACAAATCATTAAAAAAAAAAGAAAGTTTCTCCTGGAAACATAAACCTCTCAAAGGAAGAGGAAGAAGATTTCCATAGCACTGGGCTGTAAACTCACTGTTGGAGTGCTGAGAGATTTCATTTACATCCTAATGCTGCAAGGCAGGCTGGGGGGTGGGGGGAGAGAGTTCCTTAGCACCAGTAATGAGCAGCAGGGAAGAGGAGGCAGCTCCGGTCCCCATGGACTGTTTTGTTCGCAATAATTTCAGACTCTCTAATAATGCCTTTTAATAAGCTGTTCTCAGCTCTGGAGCTGCAATGAGCCTTTGTCAGAGAGCACAATGCTGCCCCAGACAGGAAAATAGTTCTGACAGAATGGACAAAAGGCCCCAGTCTAAATAAAGGCCTCTTTAAAAAAAGGCAGGGAAAAGTTCCACCAGTGAAAAACAGAAATTATGCTGGTCTGTACCACGTGTCCTTTCATTTCTAAAATGCTACATTTCCAAAAGGTATCTATTAAAGCAAAATACAGGCAAGCAACACATCTTCTAGTCTACTCCTCCTAGTTTACACTTAGACAAACTTGCTTATTTATAGGGTATTTATGCCCTGTAAGTGTACATGGACTGACCATGTTCATGTTCTGTTTATAATCCATGCCATTCACTTAGTCTCCAAGTGACTGCTATGGGATTAACACTGCAACAAGCTGTCCAAATTTAACACCATTTCCACTCACTCAATTTAATGGCACTTCCCACTGAAGCTCATTTCTAGCTGTACAAGCCAAAGACGTCTATATGATAGGCAAAACATGATGTTCTACTCCATTAAACACTGACAAATACAGGTCCAAAAACAGTCACACCACCATAAACTGGAACCAAACTCACCCTACACTTGGGTTTAAAAGCTGTTTTATAAACCATTACTAATTCTAAAATAACTGAGTGTCATCCTTTTAGTACATTTACTTCTCCATTTTTATAATTCCAAGCACTAACAGAATCACTTTTTTTTTTTCCCCTAGGAATTCTTCTCATTTTTCGAATATGATCACCCATCCTTTTCTTTCCAGCAACAGACCTACTGTGATGGCAGTCACACATTTTACAGCTCAGAAACATGCCTGAAACTTAAATAAGACACATTGCCCCCCCAAAAAACCCAGTCACTAAAACCAGCCCAGAATCTGCCCTGGATACACTGATCACCTTCATACAGGTGGAGATCTCATAATGTTTCCCCTCCTTTGGAAGATCTCTAAAGAAAGGAAGTGCCAACTCCTTGTTAAAACATATAGTCCAGAGAACCCCCAAATTGCTGATGTTTGAACTCTTTGTGCACAAAAATAAAGCTACTTTTTTGCCTATTTTTTTTTTCAAATAGAAGCTTTATACTTTTCTCTAGTTACTGGTAAAATAAGAAGGGGAACAGGTATGAAATTAAGGTAAGAAATGCCCTTAGTGTGGTTTTGTTGTTGCCAGTATCTTTAGTTCAGCACTTGAACATATGGTAGAGCAGACCTTAAAATGTACATTTCTCGAGCTGAAAAACTTCAGGGAAATCCAGGCTTCCAACCAGCTCTTGACAAAATGCAAACAAGCACTTAACTGAAGTGCAAAGGAGTCAAAACTTAGGGAATTAGGTCCCTAGTAGTGATTTTACAAATTACAGTTTGTCAGGAAGTTAAGCACACATCCAGAGTAGTTTCTCCACCCTCTGAGCTAAAGGTTCAACAATATGAGATCTCAAATCCTCCTACACCGAGTTTATTCAGGATTCCAACTCCTAAGGGAGGCACAGCCCCTCCCCTCTCCACAGCACCTGATCAATACACTGAGCAACACTCGCACTGATCACATAATGGGAGTTTTCCCCCCTTTTAAAACCTGTTTGTACTTGCAAGTTATTTCCTGGCACCTCTGCAACCCCGGGAAATCAGGGCAGTGGGTGGCTGGACACCAGAGCTGAAGGAAGAGGTCACAGAAAGAGCCTCTCGTTGCCATTTCCTATCAGTTCCCTGTCGTTTCCATACACAAGGTTAAATTACTCCCCACAGGGCTGCCATTGTCTGTCGGCCGGGCTGGGACACAAAGTGCTCATTCATGTGCACGGCAAACAAGCAGCCAAGGGCCAGTGATCAGCATCCAGGCTCCTTTGGGGTCTTCTGCAAACAGTTTGTAGGAAGATGGCATTCCAAATAAACCAAGTCCATTTTCAAAGCTTCAGTGCTGTCCTAGTACAAACTACTTAGTGGGGAGTCCAGACAAAAATTAAGACAATGTGAAGAATCACCCAAAAAACCACTCACCGGGACTGCTCCTGAAAAAGATCTGCTTGCCACAACCACATGCAAAAAGATGAAGTTTTTAATAGTTAGAGAAATACACATTCAGAAAAGTTCCAAACAGCTGATTCTTTCCCAAGACAGACATACCATGCTTTTGTTTCTAGAGTTCCACTCAGTGTTCAGCCTCAGAGCTTGTATTACTTAAGGGGTACAGACACCAAGGTTCCAAAGTGCACTTAAGGCTGTTTACTTCATATCTTCTGGTTAAGAACCCAAGAGGTTTTAGGATTTGGAGTTTTTTTGTTTTGCTTTGCTTTTTTTTACAACATGCTGGAAATAGAAAACCCAAATGCAGTGTGACAGAAGTCCAATGCTGTTGATAACTGGAGAGACACAAGCCTCACACACCCTTTCATTGCTTTGCCTTTTCTACTTCAACACTTGCTAGAGCAAAGACTTTGTCTCCTGATCCTATGAGGGGGGGAAAAAAACATTTTCAGTAAGTATTAGTAGAAATTGTGAATGTCCTTGTGTACGATTTAAATCAAGCAGAACATTTGAGATGAAAAGAAATCAAACCTACATTGTGAAAACCAGAACACTTGAGCTAATGTAGAAAAATAAAAGAGACTGACTTGGCAGGTGTAAAGCAGGCATGGGCCTGGCTGGGATGGATGTTCCCTTTCCCCCAGGAGCTCTTGGAGAGCTGGGATTTGGGTTTGCAGCTGGAATGGTGTGGGGAACACAGCGAGGTTTGGGCTCCTGCTGAGCAGTGCTGGCCCAGCAGCCAGGCTGTCACACCCCCAAAGTCCCTGGGCTTGGGTGGGCAGGAGGGGACATGGCCAGGACAGCTGAGGGGCCATTCCATGGCACAGCACACTCAGCAGTGAAAGCCAAGAGAAAGGACAAGGTGGGGAATTCATTGAGGAGACATTTGTCCTCTGAAGGAACTGTTACACACCGAGGCCCCACGCCCCAGAAGGTGGCTGGACATCACCTGCTGCTGGCAAGTAGAGGATTAATCTTTGTTTTCCTTTGCTTCTGTGCACAGCCCTTGCTTTTATTAAATTCCTTTATCTCAACCCATGAGTTTTTAATTCTGTTTTCTCCCCACATCCTGTTGAGGAGGGGGAATGAAAGAGTGGCTTGGTGGGCAGCTGGTGGCCAGCCAAGGGCAACCCAGCACACCCAGAGCTCCTCACAAAGTCCCCTTTTGAACAAAAGGGTTCTCACCTCACTTACACTCTCAGGAAGAGGAGTGCTGAAAGCCAAGTCAGAGACACTTTATTTGCACCCTGACCTAGTCTGGCACGTTCCTGCCATTCACAGTTCTTTCATCCCAGTTCTGACTGCAATGCCAGAATGAACTGTGGTGCTGATTTAATGCACTTTATAACTGAACTTTTGATCCTGTCAATATGGTTAGAGGTGTGACAATCACAGCAAGGAGCTGCTTTAAAGCTGTATTTTGACAACGTGCCAATAGTTGCCAAATTCTCTGCAGCAAGCAGAGGAAAAGGCTCTCCCGAGGAAAGTCATTAATGCCAAAAAGATCAGTGTTTAAATGTAAGAGCAGCACCTCTGCTTCAGACAGACCATTCAAGCCTTCAGATGATGGGCAACACTTGGCATTTTGTGGGCATTTGGCCCTGGATTTACCTGCTGTGTTACTTTTTCCTCATGGATAGTGTATCAGAGCTTCACTGTTAAGAAAATGTACACCAACATTTAATGGTATGAATGTTTGGTTCACATTTTCTCTTTCACAGGAAACCAGAGGTATTTCTATTAATCAGAGTTCAATGAGGCAAAGAGATTGGAAGTTCTGAGAATGAAAACTTACCAAGGTCAGTGGAGACTCTCTCAAACTGGCTCAGGGCTGTACCAGCATTTGCTGACAAGAACATCTCATCATCCCCAGTGAGCTAAATCAAAAAAGGCCACAACTGTGAACTTCAAACCTTAACTGTGCACATTCCCACCATCTCCATGGGCATGGACATGAACTATGATGGGTTACAGCATCTGTCCATTTGCAGCTTTTAAGTGGCAGTGTTACCTAACACAAAACTAAAACCTAAACTAAAGATACAACCTACTTCCCCTGCCACTGAATTTTCCCTCCAGGGCTCCTGCCAGCCCAGGCAGGACAGGATGTGCAGTGCCAGAAGTGCCTCCACATGCACCATAAAGTTTCCAGCTGACCTCCAGTGATCATTTGTGATGGAAAGGTCACACTGTACCTGAGCACCTGAACTGTGCAGAGGATAGCAACAACTTTTTTGTCATGTGGTCAGTACAGTGCTGAACTGAGGTCTAAGCTCACTTCCTATCACCTACTGAGGAAAGCAAAAACATGCCAGCTTTGACCATGTTAAGGGCCAATGACCTAGAAATGGTTCTCTGCCTTTAAAGTGACATTTGCACATGTATATTTTGCTTTTATGTATGTGCTCTGATGCCTTGTGACAGATGCCCATAAAATATTTACAGTAATGAAGCAGTAACCTACATTTGGAAGGTTCAGATATTCTAAGTTAAAAGTCACTCATTTAATTAGCCTCAGATACACATCCTTATTAAAGCAAAGCATAAGGGTGTCAAACTGTTCACAGTGTTTGCATCAGTTTATTAGTTAGAAATATAAAAGTCAGGTACAGGCATTCAGGATGGTGTTGGAATGAAGGAAAACATATTAGTTACCTGCCTTTGCTGAGCTTTGTGAGCAAGCATCCAACTACTTAAAATTTTGCAGTATTGTGCAGGGAAACATGTAATTTTTACTCTCATGGTTCACATCCAGAAGAGATGTGAAACTACTGCCCTAGCAAGTCCTGTGTGCAGTAGGTTGCTGATCATTTTAAAAGATTCAGAGGTTAGGTCAGAGTGTGGTAAAGTGGCTCCATGTGGTGATCCGAGGAACTCATGCCAGGAGGGTTAGGTATCTTCATGCATTCAGTTCACAACCTTAACTAGACTTTTATGTATCTCCAAAACATGCTTTTTTATCTCTGACAGTCAAGCAATAAAAATATTCTGAGGGAAAGCCTTTGCTTTGGAATCTACCTGAACTGCAGCTCCTTTAAGCACTGCACTTCATCTTTTCCATTACATTCCTTCATTTCCTAAGAAACCTTAAGCACAGAGACACACAGCAACTCATTTTCTTCATATGCCAGCCACAGAGAGAAATAACAACTTCTCTTCCTCCCTCTGGTGGCAAACCCAGGGCTTGTTCTGCTACTTATGGATCACTGGGGCAACAATCCCCTTATCCCTCATCTCTCCAATTCCTTTACCTCACACCAAGAGGTAAAGAATATTGTATTATCAACAGTATAAAAATAAGTGAAGCTGGATGTGTGTCAAAAGCTTTGGATAGTTCCTGGTAAATAGTTGGGAGCTTTTATAAACATGATCCTCTTGTGCCAGCTTGTATGTGATTCATTTATATGGCCCAAAGAAAGCATTTTAAAAGTAGAAACAGCCTTATATAAATGTACAAAACTATTTGATACACGTTCAGCAGTGAGTGCTTCAGAAAGCTTGGCATTAAAAGGGAAGGACATTTATATACTACAAAAACAAGTTGCATTTTACCCTTTGCTCATAAAAGTCGTAATTTCTTATTTTAATTATTTCAAATTCCTCTTAAATATACAGACAGAGAACTCTATCCACCTGAGTTTCACACCACCACCTTACCTTCTCACCAAGCTTCCTGAGGGCAGTCAGGATTTCCACTTTCTGTTGGGTGTACAGGTCTCGTGCCAACTTCCCAACCATTAAGTCTCGGTCCATCTGCACATCAGGGGGGAAAATAAGTCAAAATATATAATCTTCCCACTATTTCACTCAACACAACAGCATGAGAAATGCAACAGCCTAAAAATATCCTCAGTAAGCACAGACCCACAGCAGGAAGGGACAGAGCTATCTATGATTTAAAAGATGGCTGGTAAGCTTTTCTGAATGTTCTGCAAATACTCTTTACACCTGACCTTGGCTTACTTGATTTCTCCAAACTTGAATCTTTTTTCATCAAAGACTGATAATCACTCAAAATTATGGATTCACATATCACTGGCACATGGAGCAATCACGTTTGATTTCACTTTATCTGCATCTTCAGTTCAGTCAGATCTCTGAGTGCACTCTCCAGCCCTCAGTACAACCCCAAATTTTCTATTTGCAGTTTACTCACTTCACTCTCAATGTCAATCCCACTGTTGTTTGGAAGCAAGGAAGATAATTCAAGAAATACACATTGTTGTCCCTGTTACTTCAATAAACATTTAAAATTGAACACATTCTGAAAGAGACCTTCTCCACCTCTTTATGATGCTGACACCAAGTTTTCCAGCACACTCGGTGCTCTCCTTGCAATCATTCCACACTTGAACCAGTCTGGCTCAAACAAACAGATTCTGCAGTAAAACAAAAAGCCTTCACCTCTGCCAACCTCGTCCTCAGTTGCCTCGGCTGCTTCTTTGCAAACATTCTAATCACTTCTGGGGTTTTAAAGGCTTGGCTGATGGCTGCTTGTATTGCCTGCAAGGAAAAGAGCAAGAATGAGCAGGACTAACTCACAACCAGCAGCTGAAGACAAGATGAAGGAGGGCTGGAGAGCATCATTAGCACCCTCTGCAGCATTTGATACAGAGCTCTTCTTTTTTCTGTATAACCATGGAAGTAAGATGAAAAAAAATACAGGACCTTTATGCAGGGCTTGAAGAATCCACTCATTAGTGCAACTACACTAAGAAAGAGCTGTGAAATTTTTCATTACAGTCCAGGTCTTACTTTCTAATAATTTCCAGCACTTTCCTGATATTAGCACAGTCTTCATGCCAACACTGATGATTACAGCTCTTCTATGGACAAGCATAATGTAAATGATGAATCCACAAAATCCTTTGTGGATTATCAAAATTATCATTATTAGATCTCCCCACAGTTATCTTTGGACAAGTCATGACCTCTCTGGAAACAAAATCCTAAAACACAGGGCTTAGAAGGAACAAATTATGCTCTAATTAAACACTGAAAAGAGAGAAAATAGATCAGAAGTTTGGAAGTCAGCATAAGATCAATAACATAATATAAATATTAAATATATAAATATATAATAATAACTTAAAGTCACACAGTCATTCCTACAGCCTTTTCATTTGGACTGGTATGAATCTGAAACACAAGTCAGCAAGAAGAGCACAGGAAGTGCTATCTTATGCTTTCTAACAAACAGGCATGAATTGTACTTCTCATGATATATATTAGCCTGGACTGTCCATTAGACCTTTTATATTAAATTTCTATTATTTTATGTTATTTTTTCATATATTTAGTCCCTGCAATTACCCAGTATTGTGGTTATAATTCTTCAATATTTTTTCCCTTTTAAAATGAAGAGATCTATGCAAGTTCTTACATGTAATACACAATAAAAACATCAGTTACATAGATCTAGGTTTCACACAAAAATTACAGTGAACCACTTGGATCTATTTTCTATTTCATCAACTCCAGGAAAAATACAAACCATTTTTAGCAGCCCATCATCCTTACCAGCTGCATCCCACTGAGCTCATCCACCAAAGTCATATCTCCAGACATGATCTTCTTCAGGGAGTCGTTGAACTCACTCAGCTGCTCCAGAGTTTCTTTTTTGGTCTCCTCATACTCATCTGCATCCAGCTCCTCTCTAAAGAGGATCCAAGAAGACACATTAATTCACAAGGTTTAACCTGAGATGTCATATGGAGAAAAGGGCATTGGGGAGTATCACAGAGCTCAACTCCTCAGGCAGCAATGAATTCAATTTTATTAGCCCACAGAAAACTAATATAAAATCACATTAGTTTTTCTAACTTTTCATGTTATTTATGCTAAAAAAAACCCCAAACATCCATAATTATAAGACAAACCAAAACAGACACAAAAGCTATTTGCTAACTGATATTAAAAAAGCCCACAAGGAAGTTGTGAGTTATGTGAACAGGTATTAGAAGCTAAAAAGTCACACTGAGATATAAAGAAACCACTGAGTATTTCTGCCTGCATTTTCTTCAGATGAGAAATAAAAATATCTTTTCTTTTTAGATATAATTTTTACTACCTAACACAAACATCCTACCTAATTAAAAAAATATAAAGCCACAAGAAAACACAAAAAACCCCCCAGAAAACCCACAAGATTTTTGAAAAGTACCCCTTTCTTCTGCCAACCAGTTAAGAAAATTATTACCATATATAAGCAGCTATTTTTATTACCTGCATTCTTCCAGATCTTGAAGCTGCTGCATTAATCTGTCCAACTGCTCCTCCAAGTTTTGTTTTAGTTTGCTGGTCTCTGTTGTTCCTCTTGAAGCCATTTTCTGTTTTCACATGAAAGTTTTCACTTGTTACGTGACACTCCTAGGAGAAAGTACATTTTATTGTTTGTATCAACAACTATCAACCTATTTAAAATGCTCCAAATAGCAAGAAAACGATGCAGCATCCTGCTGATGGAATGCCTGACCACAACACAACACCTAGAGATCCTTGTAGTGGAAACACAGAAATGCCGGGCTGTGTGTACGGGATTATCTTCGCGACAAGAGGCGGTTCACCAGGGTAATAACTCAGCCACAGCACATACAACCAAACGAGGGTCAAACCAAGTAGCAATTACTGGAATGCAGAGGCCCCGCTATGTAAAGCAGCAGATTCGCCTCTCCCACGGCCCCCCGAGCACTGTTCAGGAGACACCGCGGCCGCAGGTGTCCCAGGGTCGGGAACGCCTCCGGCAGCACCGGGAGGGACGCGGGGCACTCCCGAGGAAGGCCGGGGGTCAGGCGGGAGCGGGCACAGAGCCCGCGGTCAGCGGGGCATCCCCGGCGGTGAGGGGCTGCACCACGGCCGGCGGCCCACGAGGGAACGCGACCTCCCGCCGGCAAGCGGCGAACGGGCCTGAGGGGGGGAGACCCGGGCAGGAGGGGCGAGATGGCGGAACTCGACATTACGCGGGTCCGCCCGGCCCCGAGGCTCCGGGCCCGGCTCTCCTCACCCCCCGGCCCCCGCTTCCCCTTCCCCTCTCCCTCACCCGGCCAGGCCTCGGCGGGGCGGGCCCGGACCGTCCCCCCCGGCCCCGCTTCCGCCGCGCCCGGGCCAATGAGCGCGGGCGGGGCCGGGCCCGAGAGGGGCGGACGGCGGGACGGGGCGCGGGGCCGCGCGCGGGATCGGACCGGGGAGTGCGGGATCGGACCGGGGAGTGCGGGATTCGGACCGGGGAGTGCGGGAGTCCGGGGGGCGGGATCGGGCGCTGGGGCTGGGAGGGCAGTGCTGGGGCCGGAGGGGCATGCCTGGGGCCGGGAGGGCATGCGGGCTCCTCGAGGGCAGTGCGGGCTCCTCGAGGGCAGTGCGGGCTCCGGCCGGGCAGTGCTGGGGCAGGAGGGCAGTGCGGGCTCCTCGAGGGCAGTGCTGGGGCCAGGAGGGCAGTGCGGGCTCTCCTCGAGGGGAGTGCTGGGGCCAGGAGGGCAGTGCGGGCTCCTCGAGGGCAGTGCGGGCTCCGGGGCCCGCCGGCGCTGGGGGGAACTCGCTGGGACTCGCTGTGCGGGGTCGAAGCCTCCGCACCCCCCCCCCGTGCAGACCCCCACGGGCCGGGTGTTGCTGAAGCGTCCAGCGATGCCCACGTGTCGTGAATGTTTAGCGGCGGTTCTGTTCTCTATACGTAGAATATAATAAATTCTATGCAGAATATACAATACAGTTGTGTAAACAGGTTCGATAAATGTTTGGCTCTGAATTGTAAATGAGATTGAGCAAAGCATCCTTACCTGTTTTGTCCCCAGGCAGGTTGGGCTCCAGAACGATCCCAAGACCTGCTGTAGGTGTATTTTGATGTTTTTTAGGGCAAATACGTGTCCAATCCGGCTAATAGCAGGGCTGCAATCAGCACACACTAAATGCTGGTAGGATTATGTATGAGATTATATATAAGAATCTGTGTAAGGAGTACATCACAGGGCACCTCATTTTTCCATCAGAAGAAACGGGGAAAATAATCCAGGATGCCCTACACTTATAGAATACCCAAGTGAAGGCCATTTTACTTTATTTTCCCATCTTAAGTCTTTGTGGGGAGATTTTACTAATATTTCATTTGCTATTTGGCATAAGACAGCATTAATTATTTTAAGACTGGTCTCAGTTTTATGGAGCTAAACACCTGTGTGCAGACCTCTCTCATCTCTGTACAGATGAGATGCTGGTTTGGATCCTGTGGTTAAACTGCAGTAATGGGATTTGTGTCAAGCAGTGCCAAACTATATGCAGTTCATCAAATCTACTGTTATTATACAAGAATAGACCTAGTTCCATGTACAGCACAGGCACTGGCCAGGCTTTAGTCATGCCTTGTCCTAGTCTCCTTTCCTGGGGTGTGCAAATTGCATGGCTTTTCCCAAAGAGTTAGGGCTGTGTGAAGGGGGTTCCATACAGAGCAGATCCCAGCTGTGAGGGTGCTGTGGGGGTTCCAGGATGATGTAACAGTGAAGGTAATCGTGTCAGGATACCCCTGATCTCCTCCCCTCCCCACAGCACCCATGCAGCTGTTTTCTGTGCAAACAGTGCTAGACAAAGGGTGTCAAATTAGGAGGCTGAGGGGATGTGCAAACTATGAGATTCTATTTATACTTTCATTTCTATGTAGAAATGAAGAGCTATGAAGCTCTGCAAGGTGAGTTTGGGAGGCAATAATTGTCTCCCTCTGAAAACTGTAAAATTAGCAGCATGGAAAGGGACATTTGACTGACTCCTGAAAAGGCACTGTGTGTTTTCATCTGAAAATTTTCTACTGTTTTTACGCTTTTTGTTTTATAAGGAAAAAAAAAATCGACCTTTTTCCAGTTCTGCAGCACGAGTCACTCCTCAGAAAGCAGGGTTTACACATTACAAAGGCGGTGTAACTCCTTTCCTCCTGTTCCCATGGTAACTCTCCCAGCCGTGTCCCTGTGAAGGCTGTTCCAGCCCTTCCTCTGCCGAGCCACTCTGCAGTAATAAAGAATATTTTAAAACTTTGTGAAACTCTTGAAAGCACAGAAAAGTACTAACACTTGCAAGAGGTGAAGCCTTGCAGAGCTGCTTTTATCCGAGGGCTCTTTGATGTTGGGACACAGTGGCTGTTGCAGGGGTTGGCTGTGATGGTGTCTCAGAGCTGTGAACATCACTCAGCCTCTTTGCAACAGAGACTGGATGTGAGGGTGACCTTGGGGGATTTTTCCAGGCAGGGATGTTGCTGTAGGAACAATGGCAGACAATTCCAGACAATCCTCACGGATGTCTCAGACAATTCAGGAGCAGCAGCAGCAGGAGAATGGCCTGTGCCATATCCCAGTTTTTGTTTGTTAGGGCCAGGCTGGGGAAAACCATCTTGGCAAGCCAGAGTATCCTCAGGGGAGAACACAGAAACAAAAATCTCTGTAGTTTGAGGAGAAATGAAATGATAACTAGTGAAATTTCCTAGTGATTTTCAGCAATTCTTAAGCAGCTTTCTGAAACTGAAGCTCAGAATTGGAACAGTGCTGTTGTACTTCAGAAAAGGGGGAAAAAATTCCAATATTTAATTGCAGCTTTTACTAAACTTGTTTTAATTCACTCTTCTATCACCTGTTCCACTGGTACACCTACCACTGACTTTCTGCAACACAAAGCAGGCTGACTCTTTTCAGGTTCAGTCCATAGCACTCTCTTCCCACATACCATTCTGAGTGATATAAATTACCACCCTTTACATTTTATATTACAGAAAATTTAAATAAGTCTTGAGTGAAGAAGTGTTAACACTATTCTCCTCCAGAATATTTAATATATTGATTTTATAGGTCTTGCTAGAAAGGTTCACTGCAGTTTAGAGAAGCTTTACCCTAGGTCTGTTCCTCCCTGTAAGCACTGGAAGGAAGTTACTTAACAAGGAGGTTCCCTGCCCATGGGTCTCTTGGCAGTTGATTGGCACTGGCATCATGAAAAAGGTGCAAAGTTTTGATAAACTTTGTCCTGCAATCAGGACAGATCATCTCTCCATGTGAAATTTAAAAGCATGAGCTGCTTTTCTTCAGAGTAGGCAGTACACTGACCTCTCTAGGCAAGCAACCTGTTTGCAGTGATTTCATATTTTAATCTCTTAAAAATGCAGTGTCACATGAACAATCACGGGCTCAGTGTTGGTGGAAGTGTTCCATTTGATCGTGACATTTTATTTTCTGCTTATTGGCAGCATAAATAAGTAACAAACTCTTTTTTAATCCCATTTCTTGCTGTAGTTGGTACCTGGCACCAGCATTCTCCCCTTGGCTCTGGCTGTGAGGAATGGCTATGGAAGATCCTGAGAGGAAGACTGAAGTGGTGCTGCTGGCATGTGGGTCCTTCAACCCCATCACCAACATGCACCTGAGGCTGTTTGAGCTGGCTAAAGACTATTTCCATGAAACAGGTAGGATGCTCATTTGTGTCATTCAGAATAGCTTTGATAACTAGACACTTAAGTGGTAAGGTGAATATTTTGTGTCTGTGAGTGCCTGTTTGACAGGGACAGATATTTCTGGAAATCCTAGTTAGATGTTGAGCCTGCTATGTGTGGATGTATCATACAAAATCATGTAGGCCAACATGAGACAACTGTCTTATAGAAATGCTGCTTATTACTGATTTTAATGAGCTAAAGCACAGTTTTACAGTTAGTTTATAGAAATCTGTCTTTCTGTTCTATCTTCCCAACTCTTTCTTTGTGCTGCCCTGACAATGAAGAAGAGAACTGTACTTTTCCACTGGGCTGGCTGTCAGAGCTGCCATTGCCCTGAATAATGTTTATGTCATAGTTTAAATACAATGCAGAGGAAGTAACATCTGCTCAACCACTTCTCCTGTTCTTGTGTGGTGTGTTTTTTTTCCCCAGGAAAATACAAAGTAATCAAGGGCATCATTTCACCAGTGGGTGATGCATATAAGAAGAAAGGTCTGATCAGTGCAAATCACCGAGTGACAATGGCAAAACTGGCTACAAAAAACTCGGATTGGGTGGAAGTTGATGATTGGGAAAGCAGCCAGAGTGAGTGGTTGGAAACACTAAAAGTTTTAAGGTATTCTTCAGCCAAGCTCTAAAAAGTCTCACAAACCTATAGAAGGATAAGCAGTGGTGTTAGCCTAACGAGTTAGATAATGGCAGGCTAGTCCCAAGTCTTACAAAGAGACTCAGTGAATTCAGAGGGACTATTGATACGAGCACTGAAAATGAAAGATTGCACCATTAGTCCTAAACATGCCAAAAATGAGCCTGGGAACAATTCTGAAGATATGTAATTCCTTAGGCCTTATTCAGTTTTTGTGCTGAAAAGGTGTCCCTGGGGAGGGACAGAGTCTGGAACAGGGCAGACACAAGCTGTGCTGCACATTTGTGTGTTTAAAGACTGGCATGAGAATTGTCTGAAGGAGAATTTTCTGAGTTTTTCTTTCAGTCATTGCTACTTCACTGAGATTCTTATTATTGAAACGAATTTTTATTAAAAAAAGAAACAAACCAACCTGATTGTTGCTTTGAAATCTTTGCCCTTTGAGCACCATCTGAGCGAGCTCTCAAGTCCCTGTTTCAGCAGATCAGCTCCTGGGTGGACTGTCTGTGAAAGTGCTGCAGGAGGAAGTGTGAGAGATGATTTTAGACCACAATATCCCTATTTTCTCCTACATCTTTAAAATACCTAAAATACATCTGTGTTTTGCAGGTACCATCATCA